TGTGACAAAACTGCAACGCCAGGAACTCAGCCCAGACATGCGACGTCCTGATATTTCCGACACGTGGCCCTGAGAAGTCTCCACCCTTTCCTGGACCCGTCTCTCATCCTGAGCCGTTTTTTGACGGTCCCCGGGGAGGGCCCCGAGAGGCCGAAAATGCCGAAAAGCCTCCCGTCCCGATTTTTCCACGACGCGAGCATGTCTGGGAGGGCTCCTCCCTTGGCGCGCCGCCGAGAGATGGCCCTCTCCGCGTCGGCGCCCGCCGCGCCGGCGGCACCGAGGTCAACCTCGCCAGGAGCAGATCGACTGCAGAATTGATTTACACCAGAATTCACTGTTTCGTCGAATCTACGACCAATGCGACTGACAATGCGATCAATAACTTCTGAATGTAAGAAATCGGGGCCAGCTTCCCAGAAGGTGCTTGAAGCAAACCTGGGCCAACTTCTGTTGTTCGCGCTGGAGGGCGAACGTGCCCAAGAAGCTGGGTTGATTATGAGAATCGCTGGCCCAGTTCTTCGAGAGGAGTCCTCTGCATCAGATGCCCGATTGCACGCAGACTGCTCGCAGATCCACGAAACGTTCTCAAACATGCGACGCCCTGACTTTTTCGATACGGCGTCCCGGAAGTCCTGCCTCCGAGCTGTCTTTTGACAGGCTTGGGGCCCGGCGAGGGCCACCGGAGGCCGAAAACGGTGAGAAACCTTCCGCCGCCATTTTTTTCATGACTCGAGGGAGTCCCCGCTGCTCCCTGGACCCCTCCCAGGGTGCGTTCTGACCAGAATCTCGAAGCGATTCCAGCGGTGGCGACGAGGGCCTCCCAGGAGGCCCGCGAAGGGGAACCGGGCGGAGGGGTAGCAGCATGGGTGCCTTTTCCTCCTCTGATTCTTCAATACGCGGTTCCCGGAAGTCCCGACCCATTCCCCAGGGCCGGTTTTTCACCTCGAACCGCTTTCTGACGGCCCCGAGGCCCAGGGAGGGCCCCCAGAGGCCGATAACAACGACAAACCTTCCCTCGCGATTTTCGTCACGACTCGAAGATCTCCTCCTCGGACCTCCGCGGCCACGGACCCGTTTTTCATCCTGCATCGATTTCTGACACTCCCCGGGCCCAGCGAGGGCCTCCAGAGGCAGAAAACGGCGAAAACACTCCGTTCTGAATTTCTGACGACGCGATCATGTCTGGGGGAAGAGGAGGAGGTGGTGGAGGAACAGGAGGAGGAGGAGGAGGAGGAGGAGGAGGAGGAGGAGGAGGGAGGGAGAGGAGGAGGAGAGGAGGGAGGAGAGTTAGCAGGAGAAGTTAGGAGGAGCAGCAGCAGGGAGGAGGATGAGGAGTAGTCGGGGAGGAGGAGAGAGGAGGTAGGGAGGGGAGGATTAGGAGGAGGAGGAGGAGGAGGTGGAGGAAGGGAGAGGAGGGAGGAGGAGGAGGAGGACGAGGAGGAGGAGGAGGAGGAGGAGGAGGAGGGTGGAGGAGGAGCCGGGAGGAAGGAGGAGGAGGAGGAGGACGAGGAGGAGGAGGAGGAGGAGGAGGAAGAGGAGGAGGAGGAGGAGGAGGAGGAGAAGGAGGAGGAGAAGCAGGAGGAGGAGGAGGAAGAGGAGAAGGAGGAGGAGGAGAAGGAGGTGGAGGAGGAGGGGAAGGATGACCCCGAGGTTGACCACTAGTCTTGCCAAAAACCTCCCCAAAGAGCCACGTCTTTCTTCCAACCGAGGGAGGCACTCGCGAGGATTGGAGACTTCTCCCTTCGCAAGTGGACGAGGACCCAGGCATGCGACGTCCTGATTTTTGTAATCGATCTCCTCCTCGCGCCTCCGCGGCCACGGGCCCCCGGGGCGGGGGCAGCGCCCGCGCCCGCTGCCCAGCCATACGGCGCAGCAGCCCGAGCCACTCGGGCTCGCCCTGCGAGGCGGAGAAGGCCACCACCTGAGGGGCAGCGCCGTAGCCGAGGGCCAGGCCCGCTGCGGGGGCGGAGGGAGAGGCATGATGATGAGGAGGAGGAGGAAAGGGATGATGATGAGGAGGAGGAGGAGGAGGAGGAGGAGGAGGAGGAGGAGGAGAGGAGGAGGAGGAGGTGGATGGTGGAGAGGGAGGAAGGAGGTAGGAGGAGGAAGCGAGAAGGGTGGAGGAAGAGGTATGAGGAGGAGGAGGAGCGAGGGGAAGCATTTGGAACAGGAGGGTGGAGGGACGAGGAGGAGGAGGAGGAGAAGGAGAAGGAGGAGGAGAGGAGGAGAAGGAGGCCAACCCCAGAGTGGGGAACGCCGACTGAGGTTGATGATGTGATGATTGATGATGTTGATGATGGAGGATGATGGATGATGATGATGTTGATATGATGATGATGATGATGATTATGGATTGATGATGATGATGATGTGAGGAGGAGGAGGTGGAGAACAAGGAGGGAGGAAGGAGGAGGAATGAGGAGGAAGAAGAAGGCGGAGGAGTGAGGAGAGGAGGAGGAGGAGGAGGTAGCAGCACCCGAAAGGAAGGGGCGCGAGGACCTGAGGAGGAGGAGGAGGAGGAGGCTGACAGAGGGCACAGGCATTAGTGAGAGAGGAGGAGGAGGAGGAAGGAGGAGGAGGAAGAGGTAGACGGAAAGGAGGAGGAGAGGAAGGATAAGGAAGAGGGGGAGGAGGAGGCCAACCCCAGAACGGGGAGCGCCGACGAGGATGAAGATGAGGATGAGGAGGATGATGAGGATGAGGAGGATGAGGAGGAGCAGGCAGGATCGAGGAGGAGGAGGAAGAGGTGGGGGAGGAGGATGAGGAGCAGGAGGAGGAGGAGGAGGAGGAAGAAGAGGAGAGAGAAAGAAGGAGGAGCGCTGGAGGGAGTGAAGGGAAGAAAGGACAAGGAGGTGAGAGGGAGGGAGGAGGAGGAGGCCACAGGATGATGTATATTCGAGAGGAGGAGAGGATAAACAATAGAGGAGAGGAGGAGGCGAGAGAGGAGGTGGAGGAGGAGGAGGCAGGAGGACAGGAGAGGAGGGGAGGAGGCGCGGAGGAGGGGAGGAGGAGGAAGGGAGAATGAGGCCAATCCCAGAGCGGGAGAGCGCCGACGTGGATGGGTGAGGAGGTAGGAGGTGGAGGAGGAGGGAGGAGGAGGAGGAGGAGGAGTAGGAGGAGGAATAAGTGCAGGAGGAGGAGAAGGAGGAGGAGGTGGACAGGGGCGGAGGACGAGGAGGTGGAGGAGGGGAGGAGGAAGAAGGGGGGGGACGAGGGGAGGAGGAGGGAGGACGGAGGTAGGAGGACGAGGAGGAGGAGGAGGAGGTGGGGAGGTGCGAGGAGGAGGTGGAAAGGCGAGAAGGAGAATAAGGCAGCTGCAGGCAGGGGAAGGAGAGAGGTGGGTGAATTGAGGAGGAGGAGGAGGCGGTGGTAGGGACAGGCAGAGGAGGAGGAGGGAGGAAGAGGAGGAGGAGGAGGAGGAGGAGTAGGAGGAAGAGGATAGGAGGGAGAAGGTATGAGGAGGAGGAGGAGGAGTGAGGACGGGGAGGTGGATAGAGGTAGACGGGGAGGGGAGGAGGAGGAGGAGAGGAAGGAGGAGGAGGATGAGGAGGGGGAGGAGGAGGCCAACCCCAGAACGGGGAGCGCCGACGAGGATGAGGACGAACATGAGGATGAGGACGAGGAGGATAAGGATGTTGAGGCAGGAGGCAGGAGGAGGAGGAGGAGAAGGAGGAGAAGAATGATGAGGAGGAGGAGGACGGGGAGGAGGAAGAGAACGACGGGGAGGAGGAGGAGAAGAGGAAGGAGGAGGAGGAGGAGGAGGAGGAGGAGGAGGAGGAGAAGGAGGATGAGGAGGAGGAGGAGGAGGAGGAGGAGGAGGAGGAGGATTTTTTTTTTGCATCTCGGGCCATACGCACGCGGCTCTGGCCAGTCACCCTCCAGGTGGGGTGGCCTGACGGTGCCTGGGCGTGCCGAGTGGCGGGGACCCAGGACAGAGACCGTCAGGCGGGTGGCCCCTCACAAGCACGCAGCACCGCCGAGATGGCGGTGGGGCTTGGACGGGGGCCTAGTCCGACTCGTCCTCGCCGAAACCCACAGGAGGGATGAGCGGTTCCCCATCCTCCTCTTGGCGCCTGCTGGAGTGCAGCTGGCGCACGCGTCCGGCCTCGGACCGCTGTGGGCGAGGCACAGGGTGTGGGGTCGGCGGGCTCGGGAGCGGCATCGCAGCGCGCGCTGCTGCTTTCTCTCTCTGCGCGCGCTGCTGCCTTTGAATTTCTGCGGTATTGTACCGCTCGGACTCTGAAGCAAAAAGACGAAATCTGGGATGCTTGCCATCCAACATACGATTTCTCACATTCGCACGTCCACCACTCTTGGGAGGCCGTCCAGGACAGGTGGCGGGCAAACCTCTGGAAGCATACTGGGCATAACGCCCACAGACTAAGCAAAAGACAACAGGCACGGCAAAATGCGCAATTGCCATCTGATGGCTGGCATGAATAGCTTCTAGGCCGCGTCTGAATGCGCTGGCCAGTGGCTGGCATGCCTGCCTCTCACGTGCGACAGCGGCCTTTTTGGATCGGGCGTACGTAAAACATGCTCTGCACCTGTACGGTATCGGCCCCTGAAGAACCTCCCAGTCGTGCACGACGATGGTAGCCTGAACCTTACAGGGCAGAGCGGCTCTCTCGCTCTTGTGCCTGTTGCGCTGGCACAAGGCAAGAACTCTGGGCGCATATAATCCAATCGCTCGAGCGGCCTCGATCTTGCGTTGCAGCTCCTGCAGCGCGGTCGGGTTGAAACTTGGGTGACAGTCCACAGCCGCCTTCGCCATCTTGTCTGCTGCAGCATTGATCTCCGCAGCAAGTCTGGCTTCTCCAGCCAATGAATGTATATCCTGATGGCTCTTGACCTTAGAGGCCGTCTCGAGATGATGTCTGCTGTCCCGCGCAAGCGCAAGCTTGTGCAGGCCTGAATACTTAAGCTTACTGCTGAGACGTGTCGGCAGTGGCCTAGCGTGCTGATCAAGGACCGCTTTGCAGTCCACCCAAGTCTTCGAGGGTTTGGTGAGGGCCTCCTGGAGAACCAGGAAGCCCATGTGCTCCCCAGCCTGAGAAGTCTGGGGACGGTTCGCAGCGACAGCGCCATAAAAGGAGGCCTCTGGGGCCCCGTCGGTACTGTAAGCCACTACCGAGAACGTCGCTCTGTCTAGCTCCGCTATGCCTGTCTTGGTGCACGACCCGTCGGTTCCCGTGAGCCCCCCAAAGTGCGGTACCGTGTCAGGCTGGCCGTCGTGTCTGACGAATCGAACGATGGGGTTCTCTCTAGGCAGCGGAAACTCATGATGCTGTTCCCCTGGGTGCTCGAAGATACCGAAGCAGTACAGGGGGCTATTCTCTGGCGCCTCCAGCGCGGCCTGCAGCACGTCTGGCGGCAGCAGCTCTGTCCTGAGGGCAACTACCTCTGGATGCTGACAAGAAAAGAGACGATGGTGTATGGTGTCCCCGAAGACTTTACAGAGCGGGCACTCGTTAGGCACGTCGTAGCCTAGCTGAGCGAGTTTTTCTTCAGTCCACCATCCCTGGACCACGAGGGTTTGGAGAATGGCCTTAAACCTGGGGGGGGGGCTTCTTGCTTTTGGGGGAAAGCAAGGCACGAACCACGTCAAAACACACCCTCTTCATGGGGGTTGGGCTGGGTATGCTCTTAGCTGCAATAGTTTCCCACCTCCTCTGGCATCCTCGGTGCAGCAAGTCGGAAAGCAGGCTCGGCGAGGTGTCAGTGAGCCTGACCGTCCTGCCAAGGTGGTCCTGCAGCGTGAAAGCGGAAGTGAAACTCCAGCCAATTCGGTGAAGCGCATGGGCTGCCGCACTGAGTGGTCCTCGCACGGCGTTATAACACAATTGTCCTGTTGGCTGCACGTTGTTATAAATCTGCTTGAGCTCAAGAAGTCCGAGGGTCCCTGGGGTCACGTATTTGCCGAGGGTGGTGTTCCACACTTCCTGGGCCCACCTGAGGACGGGCCCTAAGGCCCAACGGTCGGCCCTGGACCCCGTGAGGGCGAAGGCCGCACTCCTGGATTTCTTGGAGGAGCAAGGCGTGATTTGCGCAATCTCCAGAGACTGCAGCATATACAAAGACTTGTTGCTGAGACCGTCAACGGCGGCCCCGAAGGCCCCAGCAGGGAGGAGCCCAGTAGTGACAATCTTGCGACATCTTTGTCCAGCGGTAGCAGTGAGCTTACGCAGGCGTTGCCCTCTGACCGTCGCGGTCCTGAGCCTGACCTTGCGCTTGGCGGCTGCGCCGTTGCAACCGAAGGACTTGCCAGCCGTAAAATCGCAACCTAAGTTAGTGGCGACCGCTTGGAGCTTGCCCCCAGTGGCCCCAAGGGCCGACGTGAGAAGCCTGGCTAACGACACCGACGACGCAACGACCGCTCCTTTGTGAACCGCTATCCTGGCTTCTAGGTCTATCTCGATGAGACGGGCAAGCTCCTTGGCGGCACTGACAACACGCTTGAGCACCCTGACCGTGGTGCCGTGACAGGTGATGGACAAGTCATCCAAATAGAAATCGAAATAGACAGCCGAGTGCAGCGAAGTTATTCGCAGGAAAGCGTCAAAGCAATAGATCCTGACATAAAGGATGCAGAAAGAACAGCCCGCCACTATGCCGTTGGTGGCCGCTATAGGCTGAGCCACACAGCGCTTCCACGCTATGTGCCTCCACGAGCCGTAACCTGCAAGGTGATATGCGAGCAGAGTCTCAGGAAAACCTAATGCGAGCGCTCGAGCCCGCAATTTGTTGCGCTTGAAGCGCTCGAAGAAAGCTTCCATATCCCAGAGAACACCAGCAGAGGCCCCTCCGCCCGAGACGGCCCCTTCAGCTCTGAGACTCTGCCGCCATACCACGTCGACTGGTGATCTGCCTGCGCCGCAGGCAAACCAAGAGTAGTCGTGCTTAGCTATCCAGTCCTGGGCGAAATGCAAGCGCAGCTTGCCTGTGATTCTGTACATCATGGGAAAGATGCCGATGGGCCTGTAGCCGCCAGTGACTTTGCGGAGAAGCGCCACGAGGACCCACTGGAGCTGCCCTGGAAGCTCCCCAATAACCTCGGAGATGTAGATGAGTCTGGCGAAGGCCTCGAGGGCCTCATCGGATAACATACTGAGGTGCCTCATGTGGAACCCGTCGAGGGAGACGGCTGATGACTTGGAGTAACTCTTGGAGAGGTCCCTGAGGGCTTCTACTGAGGGGATCCCGATGGGCTCATGGAGGTCGTTGTCCCTGTGGAGGGGCTCTACCGCGGGCTCCCAAAAGTTCCCGAACTTGGCCTTGTAGGTGTCCAGGGTGCTCTGTATGGAGGCTGTGAGCTTACCCTCGATGACCACCGTGTCGGGCTCCCATTCGGTACGCTCCTTAATGAACTTGTGTGCGGCCTTGGCCCCCTTGTCGAGGGCCTTGTCTACCCACTCCTTCCAAGAGCTGGCGTTGGCTGACCGCACATCTGAGATGACCTTCTTAGCGCATGCGTCAGCCCTGGCCTTGAAAGAGAGCAGCTGCGCGACTGTGGCAGCTATCTTGCTGCAACAAAAAGCTTCGGCCTCGAAATCAGCGTGCAAGGGCATGATATAATGCTGTATATCTCTGATGAGCATGCGCGTGCACTCGTTCTGCATCACATGCTGCGGCTTGGCACGCACCACACGGGAAATAAGATCGAATACTGCCGGCCTAGATTCTCTGCCAATCACCTTCCCCACATTCCTTACCTCCTCCTCATCCAAGTAGCAAGCGAGGCGGTGCATGCGAGTGGCAATCCAGCTCGGCGCTGTGGGGAGGAGACCGTACTGCTTGTGAGCTCTCTCGTTCTTGGTGACTGCTCTGAGTACTGGCTGGGGGGCTCTCGCTCTCAAGCCCGACGACTTGCGCTTGCGAATCTTGGTGGCCGTCCGCTGCGCTAGCTCGAGCTCGGCGGCGTTGGCCCAGTGCGCGTAGGCCGAGGCGAAGCCTTCTCGCAACACTGCCTTGTGACGGTTACCTAAAGCAGAGATAAGCCTACCTACGTGATCTAAAACTTTATTCCAAGAAACGGTGCTAGGATGCACGATATCCTCATCCTCCTCATCCTTGTCGAATGAGGAGGGGAGGGCGGGTATGGTAGGGAATTGAAGGACCTTGACCTCTCCAAAATCTGGTGGCAGATCCAGCACAACAGGGAAATGCGGCCTAGCATCCCAGTCGAAATCGACGTCTATGTCTCGCACAGCGATGGCAAGCTGCTGCTCGACAATGAACATGTCTATGACTGAACCGCTGGCTGTGCAGGTGCCCATCGAGCAAACCGGCGCGAAGAGCTGACCCTTTATATAATTGCAGAACTCCGAATGCTCAAGCTGGTCCTGAGTAATATTGAAGTCTCCTGCTATGATGTACTGCAGCCCCGAGACCTTGACCAGATCGGCTATAGCCTCGAGGATGGCGACATTGTCTGGCGAGAGTCCCTGACTCACGTGCCCATACAAAGATAGACAGAGGATGCCCGAGGTCTGGGGGAACTCCACAACGACTCCAATGACTCGGTGTGGCACCAAAATACCTCCAGGGGGCCCCACGGGTTCCTCCAGAGTGTAGCACCCAAGATCGTCGGCAACGAAGATGGCGACCCCAGCTGACGAACCTACATCCCCTAAACCGTTCGTTGAGGGGGCAAAAGAGGCAGTGGCAACCGACGGGGCCCAAAAACTCTTCCAGCCGTGCCTAGTGGCCCAGTCTGAGGCCTCGGCAATGCTTAAATCTGACACAAGGTGCACCTCCTGAGCAAACAAAACTTTGGTGGGTCCCCACGCAAGCTCAAGGAGGCGCTTCTTGAGGGAGCCCCAAGAGGACCCATTGAAAGACTCAAAACGGGTGCAATGAGGAGAGGAGGAGTGGAGAGAAGTAGGAAAGGCCTTCCCAGCACTGGCATATGCTGGTGAGGCCGCTGGCGAAACTGGCTGGCAGTCAGCTTCAGTCAGAGAGGCACCGCACGTCGCCGTTGCCCAGCGCTCTGTCGATGCTGTCCTTGAAGTCGGTGTGGGGCCGTTACCCATACGGGCGGTGGCCGCGACCGCTGCCAGTTCCCTTGCTCGACGGTCCGCCCAGCTGGCGCGCGGCTGCGGCCTGCTGGTCCTGGTACGTCGCACGGGCCTTCTGCAGGGCTTCGAGCTCCTTCTTCGGCAGGTGCTCAGCAAGGGATTCCATCTCGGCTTTGAAGAATTCAGAATCAAATATCGGTGTGTCCGTAATCGATGCTGATGGCTGGGGCGGCGGTGCTGCCTTCTCAGGCAGGGCCCCCACCATGCTGGCCATGTCATTGATGAATTTGAGGATGTCTGCGTTGCCCGCAAACTTGGTCTTGGCCTCCGCGATCTTGGCCTTGGACGTCTTGGTGAACTCCGCGAGCGATCCAGGTCCTTCATCTGGGGCAGTGTCTGCCCAGACTGACTTGGCATCCTGCTCCTCGCGCTGCTGGTCGTCCTGGGCCTGCTCGAGACGTTTCTTCTGCTCTTCCATGGACTGGTTGGTGGCGTCGAGCTGCAGCTGCAGCTCCTGCTTGGTCTTCTCCAGCTCTGATATCTGGTGCTTGATCTTCTCGACCTTCTCGGCCGCGCGCTGCACGCGGGTGTGGCAGCGCGCCATGCGCTGCGCAGGCGGCAGGCTGGCTGCCTGCGCCGCGCGCGCGTCCACCAGGTCAGCTCTGGCCTGCTGCAGCTTGGCAGCCACATCAGGCACGACGTTGGCGTCCATCTGCTGGTAGGTGCTGACGAGAAGTTCGAGCTGCTCGATCTTCTTGTCTTTGTCATTGGTGGCGGGCGCCTCTGACGTGGGCGCTGCCGTGTCCTGGCCCTTGCCCGTGCCACGCGAGCCTTTCCCGTGGCCAGGCGCTGCGCCTGCAGCAGGGCTGCCTGCTGCTGGCGGCTGGGCTGAGTTGGCGGCCGCTGCGATGGCGGTGACCTGCTTGGCGATGGCGTCCAGCTGCTGCTTGGAGAGCCCTGCGGCGCCGCCTGCGCCGCCCGCGCCCATGCCGCCGCCTGCGTTCTTGCCACCGCCCTTGCGGCGACGGGCTCCACGCTGAGGCTGATCACCCTTGTTGTAGTAGAGCCCGCAATTGTGACACCACAGCTTGCTGCTAGCCATAGGTGTCCAAGAGCGTGGGCCACACTTCTCACACTGAACCCACGCCGCTGGCCCAGTGGCCTTCGCCATTGCGGAGGACGGGCCGTTCTGGCAAACTGCTTCTGAGAGAGAATGTTGCGTACAGAGTGTGGCACCGCCAGGTGCTCACAGCAAACGAGATGCTCGCAGGCTGACCCCAGAGACGCGGGCCGGGCCAGTCCTGGAGCGCGCGTTTGGCCCTGCGCCACCTCGAGAGATGGCAACTTGAGCCAAAATGGCTACGGAGGAGGAGGAGGAGGAGGCAGGAGGGGGGAGGAGGAGGAGGAGGCAGGAGGGGGGATGAGGAGGAGGAGGAGGAGGAGGAGGAGGAGGAGGACGAGGAGGGAGGAGGAGGAGGAGGAGGAGGAGGAGGAGGAGGAGGAGGAGGAGGAGGAAGGGGCGGAGGGAGGAGGAAGGAGGAGGAGGAGGAGGAGGAGGAGGAGGAGGAGGAGGTAGGGATAACGATAAGGAAGAAAAGGAGGAGGAAGGAGAGAGGAGGGAGAAGGAGGAGGAGGAGGAAAGGAGTAGAAGAAGACGGCGGAAAAGAAGGAGAAGGAGGAGGGGGAGGAGGAGGAAAGGAGAGGAGGAGGAGGAGGAGGAGGAGGAGGAGGGAGGAGGGGGAGGGGGAGGAGGAGCGTGGGAAGGACGGAGGAGGGAGAGAAGTGGAGGAGGAGGAGGAAGAGGAGGAGGAGGAGAGGAGGAGGAGGAGGACGAGGAGGAGGAGGAGGAGGAGATGGAGGAGGAAAGAAGGAGAAGGAGGAGGAGGAGGAGGGGCAGGAAGAGGAGGAGAAGAAGAATGAGGAAAATAAAGAGGAGGAGGAGGAGGAAGATGAGGGGGACGAGGAGGAGGAGGAGGACGAGGAGGAGGAGGAGGAGGAGGAGGAGGGGGAGGAGAAGGAGGAGGAGGAGGAGAAGAAGGCGAAGGAGGAGGACGAGGAGGAGGAGGAGGAGGAGGAGGAGGATGAGGAGGAGGAGGAGGAGGAGGAGGAGGAGGAGGAAGGGGCGGAGGAGGAGGAGGAGAATGGAGGTGGAGAGGGAGGATTGAGGGCGGAGGATGGAGGGCGGAGGAGGGTGGAGGAGATGGAGATGGAGTGGAGGAGGAAGAGGAGAATGAGGATGGAGGAGGATGGAGGAGGATGGAATGTGGGGACCAGCTCGGGGGGGAAGCGTCGATCTGGAATGGGCAGTACATCGCTGCTAGTGCGGCAACAGGCCCCCGATAGCGTATTGGCACGCTCGTGGTCGGGGCGGGGCTGGCTACCTTGGGATTTGCCGTTACGGAAAAATGTGACGTCGCGAAAAAGCACGACTGGAGCCTGAAGCCCAATCTTTCTGTTACACGTTTCGAGGCAGATCGACCTGTGATGGTCCCAGGGCCCGAAAGCCGGCGATAACGATCGCTGTGACAAAATTGCATCGCCAAGATCTCAAGCTACGCAGATCCCAAACTACGCAGACCCCCAGAGGTCTCGGCCCCTTCCCCAGGCGGTTTTTCATCCTGAAAAATTTCTGTTGACGGTCCCGAAGCCCGGTAACGGCATCCAGGGGCCGAACATAGCGAAAAACCTTGCGTCGTGATTTTGTTCGCGACGCGAGGGGACCTCAAGCTATCGCGATGCCTCCCCCCCCCCAGCGTATCCCCCCACTCACGTTGCCCATGACCACCAGCAGGCCCGCCCGGGCCTCGTCTGGCGCCGGGGGCCCGCCCGGTTCGCACGCGGCCCTCTTCGAGGATCCTCAGAGCGCGCTGGCGCCAAACCCAGACCCCTTCGGCTGCGGGCACAAGACCAGGGAGGAGTATTAGGGGAACGAAGAATTACGTAAACAGAAAGACTCGGAAGTCCGGCGCTGGACCCCCCCCCCCCTGGCGCGCGGAGCGCGCCAGGGGCGGCGCCGGAGGCGCCGCCAGGGGGGTCCAGCGCGAATCCGAAAAATCCGCGCGGACCTCCGAGTCTTTATGTTTATACCATTCTTCGTGCCCCTCATTATCTCTGTTGACGCTTTGATGGTTCGAAGCCCCTCGCACGGTGAAAGCATCGCGACAGGAGGCTTTCTGCGGCTTTCGCCCTCAAGCCCCAGCACCGTCGAAGAGCGGCTCGGGATGAGAAGCCCGTCCCCCGGGAATGGGCGGAGACCTCCGAAGCCCGGCGCGGTGAACAAATCCACGACGTCGGAGCTCTTGGGGGCGCGTGCTCGTCCACCGAAGCCTTGCCCATACGACGCAGGCGGTGCACCAAGGGTCAGCCCAAACGGCGCGCTACATCGGCCCAGTTGAGAAGGTGCAACGCTTACACGAGGCTGACAACCCACGCCCTGGGGGAAGGAAGAGGCACCAATGCCGCCACGGCGCAGGCCAAACCACAAGAAACCTTCCACAAGAAACCCAAGCGGACGTTCTGACCAGAATTTCGAGGCGCCTCCAGCCGTGGCGACGAAGGCCCTCCAACACGAGCAGCGGCACCGGCACCTCTCCCTCCTCGGAGTTCTGAGGATCCTCGACCTCTGCCCGGGCCCCCGGCGCAGCTGCGACGCCCTGACGAGCTTCATGTACAGAGGAAGAAAAAGCGGCATAAGTAGAGGACACAAAACCACATAACTTAGACTTTTGGAGGTCCCCACGGATTTCGTGCACCCCCGCCGGACCCAGCGCGGATCCCAGAAATCCGCGCGGAGCGCTCAAACTTTATGTTTTTTTTTTTTTTTTATGCTGGATATTCTTCTCCAGTCCTCCTCCTCCAGTCCTCCTCCTCCTCCTCCTCCTCCTCCTCCTCCTCCTCCTCCTCCTCCTCCTCCTCCCTGAAATTAAGCATAAACTCCTCCTCCTCTCTCCTTCCTCCTTTCTCCTCCTCCTCCTCCTCCTTCCTGATATTAAGCATCAACTTTCGGAGCTCCGTGCGGACCTCTCGGATCGGCGCGCTGGGCCCCTCTCCACGGCGCGGAAGGGGCGCGCCATGGAGAAGCGCCCAGAGGCCCCAGCGCCGCTCCGAGAGATCCGCGCAGACCTCCGAAAGCTTCCGCTTTGAGAGGAGGAGGAGGAGGAGGAGGAGGAGGAGGAGGAGGAGGAGGAGGAGGAGGAGGAGGAGGAGGGGAGGGAGGAGGAGGGAGGTGGAGGAGGAGGAGGGACGACGACGACGACGAGGAGGGAGAGGGAGGAGGGAGGAGGCAGGAGGAGGAGGAGGAGGAGGAGGAGGAGGAGAGGAGAGGGGGAAGAGGGGTGGGAAGGAGGAGGGAGGAGGAGGAGAAAGAGGGGGCGGAGGAGAAGGAGGGGGCGGAGGAGGATAATGACGGCTCGACGGACTCTCGAAGCCCCCTCTGAAGAGATGAGATGCACCGCCCCAAGGCCACTCCGCTTGGGCTCGAGAAGAACAGGCTCGAATCGGAACTCTGGAGGTTTTCGTTGCATTCCCCGCTGTTTTCCCTCTTCTTCTCCCAAAATCACGCTTCCCGTAGCCATTTTGGCTCAAGTACGAAACCGTGGCCCTGCGGTTTCGTGCTTGCCTGCGGCCGAGGGGCTGGCTCGAGGCGAACTGCCCACAGCAGGCGTCTGTTCCCCCGCACCGCCACGGTAAGCCCCCGCTGCCGTGGCCTGTCTGTTTCCGAGCTGTGTCGTGCAATCGACCCATCTTGCGCCATGACTTGGAGTTGGAATAAGAAGCCCATTGCACATGTGTGCTGCCCCAACCCCAGTTGCCCAGGTTGGACCTGGGCCAGCCGCCGCAAGCCGTTCTGCGGGCTCTGCGGCACCCCGCAGCCCCCGCAGCCAGGTTCCGCGCGATCGCCAGGGACCAGCGGTAAGGGGAAGGGTAAGGGCAAGGGGCATGGGCAAGAAGGTGGAGGAGGAGAGTCAGGAGGAGGTGAATCTGGAGGTGGTTTGAAGCAGCCCCCGTGGCATAAAGACACGATTCCCTCGGCGCCCCCCCCCGAACACCGACCCGACTTCCCAAGACCTCTTGATGGCGCAGCATCTTCTCAAGTTTTACAAGGGCTGGGGAGTGGAGTACACCGATCCCAGGTTGGTCTCGGCCCACGAAGCAGTCAAGGCTGCGAAGGAGAAGGTGTTCCAGAATCGTTCCCCTGCGCAGAAGGCTCAGAGTCTCGCGGCCCAGGTCCAGCATCAGAAGTCCCTCATCACCTCTGCCACGGACGCACTTGCGGAGTTGGAATCTCAGGCAGCGTGTATGGTCAGGAAGTATGAAGGGGGCGACGGCGCAGATTCGTGAGTCGAAAGCCCAGTTTGAGCGTCTCAACGCCCAGCTTGCTTGCCTGCGTCCTGAGCCACCCTCGCGCGAGCCTCCTGAGTCTGAACCTGAAAGTGTGGTCCACTGGGCCCAGGGTCTGAAGGGAGCTCTGACTAAAGAATTTGCCTGTCTCTCTCCTGAGGGGAACAAGCAGTTGGAGGATGGTTTCTCGGTTTTGGAAGGCATGTTGTTGACTAAGATGAAGGACCAGTTGGATCTTGATGCTCAAGCCAGTAAGCTGTTGGAGGGAGCCATTCAGAAGCCCTTAATGGCCTGGAGAATAAGATCGCACAGAAGAACATGCATAAATCCTTGGAGGAGAAGCAGCAGCTGCCAGCAGTGTATGCGGAGGAGGAGCCGTAGGAGGTATCCGATGAAGATATGGAACCTCGAGGTGAGAAGCGCCTTGGTGAGGACCTCAGCAGCCTCCAGGAGCAAATGGGGGCCCTTCGTCAAGAGTGCCCAGATATTCATGATCAGGTGTGGATCCTCGTGAAGAATAAGTCTGGGAGGGCTGCCAAGAAAGGGAAGGGTGCCTAGCAAAGCTCAGGAGGGCAAAATTCCAGGATGAAGCCTCCAGGAGCTGCGTCATCGCCCTCAGCAGGACCTCAGGGCAGAGGAAAAGGCGGGGAAGGGGAGGCCCCCAGCCACTGCCGCCGCCCCGCCCAGCCGGCTGCAGCCCCAGCATCCAGGGGGGGGGGGGGGGGGGGAGCGGCAGGTCCAGAGGATGTCGAGTTGTGACGAACAACGGGCCAAGGGTGGGCCCTGCAAATAACAGCCCTGAACACGAATTCGCTTGCCTCTTTTAAGGCGAACGATGACCATGAGTCAGGTGGTTTTCAATTCCCTGAGGCTTCGATTCTTCTCCTGCAGGAAACCTTGTTAAAGGATGAGGAAGCCTTGCAGTCTGCCAGGGAATGGTGTTCTGCTCGTGGCTGGCTTGGGTATTTCTGCATGGCTGCAGTGCTAAAATCAAGAGTGGCCTCTGGAGGTGTGGCTATCCTATTATGGACTGGGCAGGATCTTGGAGCTAGTCTTGTACCTGTTAGCTTTTCGATGCAGCACCGCATCTGCGCCCTGAAGATTGACATCCCTGGGCCCCCCAAGTTTTGTCTCGTCTCTCTGTGCATGCAGACGAGTGTTGGGTTGAATGCTGCTAACCTTGAACTCTTGGAAGATATCGCAACTCTTCGGGAGAAGGTTCAGCCCCCTGTCATGATCGCAGGAGATTGGAACATGAAGGCTAGGAGGCTTGAAACTTCGGAGTTCCTGATTCGAGCTGGAATGGAGGCGGTCGTTCCGTCGATGCACCAAGAAGAAGTCTCATACCACTATTGACTTCTTTGTGCTCTCATGTGCTTGCCAGCATTGTCACGTCGACCTCTGTGCTCTCATCGTGCCCTGTCTCTCCTCGCTGTCCTGTGGCGTTGCGCATGGTCCGACGTCAACCATGCTATCCCTGTCTTGTGTAAGTGCCAGAAGATCCCGCATGTCAAGCCCTTCGGCCCGTCTTTGGAGAATCTGCCCTGGGTCGAGTTGGAGAGTCAAGCATCCAGATTGGAAGAGTTGCGTGGGGTTTCTGTGGGAAGTGGCACGCCCGACATGTCCTGTTTTGAAGCTCGGCAGGCTGCTCTTGATGTTGTGTACTCAAGTGTTGCCATGGAGTTGGAGCGTACCATCAGGAGGATGACGGGCACCCCCCTGAAGACTGTTTCGCAGAGGGCCCGCAGTGCTAGGATCGTGTACGCCCCTCTGTTCAGCACTGCAAGAACCTGAAGTTGGCTTGGAAGTCCTACTTAGTACCCCTTGAGGTGGATGGTTAAATGGGCCCAGAATGTCTGTTGCCACTTGAGAAGCGAGGCGGATCTTAGAATGCATCTTGAGAACGTGGAAGGTTGTCCTGCTGAGTACAGGTCGGTCCCCTCGCTCATTTGTCATTTGGGCAGGGCCAAGTTGCTGTCCGAGGGTCTTCGACAGGATCTAGATCAGCAGTCTCTGAACGTGTACGTTGCTGAGGGCATACTTGGAGATTTATTGAAGGATCTTGAAACTGTTTTGAAGGCTGACAGCTCCAGGGACACCCTCGGCTCCATCAAGTCCTGGAAGGAATGGGTTCGCAGTCAAGGCAGCTCTGTCTCCTGGATGCGCAAGTGGGCCAAGTGGAAGGATGCGCGGAAGCCTGGGGAGGTACTGCAGCGCTCGGGCCAGTGGTCTGGGCAGCCTACCAGCATCCCCAGGGCGGAGGCGGATGGGCTGGGGCGCCTCTGGAAGGGAGACAGCATCGGCTTCGTTGCTTATGTCACCAGAAGGGTTTTTCCATCCTTGAGCTCGTGTTCGTGCAAAACTTCAGGGCTGAATCGGCTAGCATGTCTGGGGGGGGAGGTTCACGCGCCGGCTGTGCTGTATGATATGAGTAGTGTCTACGACCATATCGATTTAAACCTTCTCTGGACCAGGGCCGAAGACACGGGGTTTGACGCGCAGGCCCTTGCCGTGGTCTGCAACGTGTACCGTGCGAAAAGGTTCTTCCAGATGGAAGGATACGCTCTGGAATCTTCTTTCCCTATGCAGGGTATTCTGGCTGGCTGCCCGTTTGCTACTTCCCTGGTGCAGGTTTATTCCGATGGGCCAGTCTCAAAGCTCCAGCAGGACCTTGGTAGGTCTGATATGTCCCTCTTCATCGACGATTGGGTGATTCTGATTCGGACCCTAGAACCCTTGGCACCAGAACGGTCGAGAGCTCGGCCCAGGTAGTCCAATCGATCCAGGATGATTTGCAGTGTGCGGTTGCTCATGATAAGTCTGCTGGTGTTGCTTCTTCGGGCAGTATCAGGCATGATCTGGCCAGGTCCATGGGGAAGCACATGACGCCCAACGATATCTCTGCTGTTTATCTTGGCGTGGACACCACGGGAGGCCAGCTCAGGTGTAGGAGAGGTGCTACCCGTTTCTTGAAGGCGAGAATCAAGAAGTTGAACCGTCGCAAGCGAAGGCTAGCAGCCATAAGGAAGGGAAGTGCCAACATGCAGATGGTGTACCTCGCAGGTATCCAATCCTTCGGGAATTATGGGGCCGAAGTGGTGGGGTTGGGCGCAAGGGGAGTTGCAACAACGCAGTCCTTCTTCCTGCGTGCAGTCGGAAGCGCGCGCCCATCCAGGTCTCGCACGTTGTCGCTTCTTATTCTCCAGGACCCCACCTTCAGGCTTGCCTTGGGCCCTGTCATTACCTGGACAAATTTGGTTTGGAAAGCTGCGGCCTGCCCTGAGTTCGAACCCTCGCTGCCACGGCTGAGGGAGCTTGCCTCGAACATCCTGGCGAGGCCGCCGAGAGCTTGGAACCAGGTTAGAGGACCTCTCGGGGCTGCCGTCGTCTCTTTGATTAGAATATCCTGGAAGTTTGTCTCCCCCTTTGTCTTGGAGAACCACAAGGGTCAGGACGTTGTCCTAACTAGCACGTCTCCCGCCAATGTTCTTTGTGATCTCAGAGCTGCGTGGATGCACATGCTGGCTGCGAAGGCCGCTCGCAAGTTCGGACACCCTGGCGAGATCTTGGACACGACTGTCTGTTGCCAAGTGTCTTCCCCTGGCAGTACCCTGTCGTATGCTGAGAAGTGCATGCTGCAGGCCTTTGTTACACAGCGCTTGTGGTCCAAGTGGCGCCTTGCTAGATGTGGTTATGATGTGGAAGATGTTTCGTGTCCTCTGTGTGGGTTTCCTAGGGGCGATCTCCACCACAGTCTGGTTGCCTGCTCTGCTACTCTCAGTGTAAGGGATGAGTTCTTGAAGGAAGATGTGGTTGATCTGATCTCCCGAGAAGATAAGAAGAACCCTCTTATGCTTGGTTGTCAGTTGGTTCCTGAGAATATCCTGAGACCGCCCGATGGCTTCGGGCATGAAAGCTATACCTTCTCCTATGTGGACCCCAACCTGACCCCCTTGGAGGCGTTCAGAAACAATATGTGTTTTCATGATGGGTCCTGTTTCAAGGAAGGTCACAAAGTCCATCACTGCGCTGGTTGGTCATGTGTATGCCTCCAGGAGGATGGGGAACCTTTTGCTATCATCTCGGGCAAAGTAGGGGCCAAGCTGCCACAGACGAGTCCTGCTTCGGAGCATGTTGGGTTTCTGGCAAGTTGCAAGTATGCAAGCTCGGCGTCAGAATTCTGCACGGACTACAAAGGGCTCGTGGCCGTGAACGAAAGGCCCCTGGAAGTTGTTTCTGACAGAAGGTCGTATTATGCTGGACCCGTTCTCCTTGCTCTGAGCCACCTGCCCAGAAGAGACGCTCTTGCTATCAAAAGTGAAAGATCATCAGAGTGCTGATTGTTTTGAGCCGTTCTCTGTGGACTGGTTTAAGGCTAAAGGCAATCACTGGGCTGATGTGGGTGCAAAGGCGGCTGCGATGACCTATTCCCGTCCGTCGGAGAATTAGCTTTTTGAGTTTAGCTTTGAAACGTCCAGCCTCAGGAGTTGTCTGATTTACGCGGCCAAAGCCCTGTTGCTTTGGTCAAGTCTAGCGCCAGTCAGGCCTAGCAGTCGTCTGGGAACGGTAGGCGCCCCCCGCGCTGGAGCAGCCAATGCCGCCACTGCTGGAGGCAGTGCCGCCCGTGCCGCCACCGTCAGCGCCGCCGAAGAGGTGCTGGGCGTGGCTGGCCGGGGAGATCCAAGTCCCTCTCCTCTCCCTCGGGGTGCCCCCCCTCCTCCTGCCCCCGCCTCCGCTGGGGCCCCTGTGGGCCCGTCCACTGCCCCCTCTGTTGGAGGGGCGCAGGCGCCCCAGAGGAGGGATCGTGGCCACGAATTCAGGTGGATTCGCGGTCTGTGGGCGTGCACGCGATGTCTAGCTCGTGTGCGTTCGGACCCTCCGCAGCCTGCTGCGGACTGTCTAGGTTTCAACCCTGTGCTGTGTGCCCTTCTGCAGGAACCTCAGTGGCACAAAATCCACTTGTCGGGTACCGACGGGGTCACCCTTTTCTGCTGCATGGACTGTGGCAGTGTCTCTGAGGGAGTTAGGCTTGGTGTTGGCGAAGGCCTGCAAGGGCGGGCCTTCCTCCAACCACACGCGTAGCAACCTCTCTCGGCTTAGAAGAGGCATCCATCCCAATAATAGGGATGTGTTGCTTGATGAGCTAGTGCCTCTTGTGGACTTCACATGTGCTGTGGACGGCGGTGGTTCGGCTTCGACTGGTGAGGTGGGGAGTTAGTCGCTGGCGCCCTCCCTCCTGGGGTAGGGCTGCTAGTGATTTCCTCTCTTTTCTTGCTGGTCTTAGCCCTTGCGATGCGACGTGTCAAAAAAAATCCCAAAATCACGCTGGAGAAGTTGATAAACTTTCGGAGCTCCGCGCGGAGATCCGAAAGTTTACGGTCAGGAGCTTTGGGATAGCGTTGTAGCCTCGGCGGCCCCTGCGACACGCGATGCCCTGCGAGCGGATGGCGTGTCGCTCCGCTCCGCGGGGCGGGAGTCTCGGAAAGGCTCGGAAGGGCTCGGGACGTTGAGCACTTAGCTGTTTATGCAAATTTCCACCACCACTACCATAGGCAGTATCAGTAAAGGGGGAGAGGGGGGCGGGATGAGGGGGGGAGGGGGAGGAAAGGGGGGGAAAGGAGGAGGTGGAGGAAATAAAGGAGAAGAGGAAGAAGAAAGAAACGCTAAGAAGAAGAGAAAGAAAGAAGGAGACGCCCTCCTCTCCACCTCCACACATCACTCCTCATAATCCTCCCTGCCTCCGCTTCATCCGCTCTACCTCCCCGAATATAAGTCTACTACTACTCCTCTCCACTCTACATAACTCCACCCTCCTCCTCATCTAACTCCCCCCCCTCCTTCTACTAATCCTCCTCATACAACAATCTTCACCTCCACCCCCTTCACAAATTCTCATTACTCCCAACCATCACTTCCAACGCCCACCTAAACCACCCCCCACCCCACCCACCCCTCAACTCTCCGCCACTTATACACATCAATTAATATATTCTCAAAAACCATCAACACACTAGCACCCCCCCACCCCCTCCCTCTTCCTCACTCCTCCTTCCTCCCCTCCTCCTCGACCTCATCCTCCTCCTCCTAGTCCCTCCTCCTCCTCCTCCTCCTCCTCCTCCTCCCCTCTCCTACCTATGGTTCGCGGTGGTGGTGGAACATCGGCCCATTACCAATGCATGCTGATGTCGCTGTCTCTCCCTCGGAATGTAGCACTTGGCGCCGCCGGAGGGCAGCATCGTCCCGACGCTCACGCAGGCGGGCAGCGCGCGCGCGCCCTCGTCGCCGGGCCGCGCGGCCACGTGCGCGCGGACCTGCGCGGTGTCCAGCCCCAGGGCCGTCACCCGGCTCTGCGCGGCCTCGCGGGGGAGCCCTCGGCCCCGAGGCTCGGGGCTCGAAGCTCGGGGCTCGAGGCTCGGCCTCCAGGGGCCCGCTCCCGGGCCCCTGGAGGCCGCGCAAGAGCACGGGCCCGGGAGGCAGAACTACCCCTGGGGAAGGGGTCGGGGCCTCCGGGGCCACAGAAGAGCGGCCTTGAGCATCGTGCAACCGATCCCTACCGAGATCTCCGACGATCCGTCGCCGCGCCGTTCGTTCTCGACGCGCCCAGGTGGACGACGCCGACACGGCAAA